CATAGCTTCTTGCCCCTGACCTTACCTGTGAGCCCTGGTCATTGATCCTTCCACCAAGGAGAAGTGTGTCTTATCATCTGCCCTGTCTGTGCCCGAAATTATTTTATACACCTCAATCGTTTTCCTCTGCAGTCTCCTCTGCTGTAAAGAAACAAAAGCCCCAGTCTATTCAATCTGTCTTCATAAGTCTTGATTGCCATTTAAAGTTTGTATGGCGATATATTTCTCTGCAGCCCATTTTTTTCTTCATTCCTGCAGAGATTGTTTTCATGACTGTCCACAAAACTGGGTTAAATCTGAGAAGCTAACAGACATTTTTGGTTTCAATAGCAAGGGCTTCTGCATTGGTTTTCCTCGTACTTTTCAACTCGTTATTTCTCCTTGATGCACCCTTTTGCACTTTCAGCCTGTTCCCAATATTTTTCCCAACTTATCTTCTCCATAAAGTCCAGCACCCTCTTATTGTTACTCCTGCTGCTCAACTTACACTTCTTGATCCCAAGTTCACAGAATTTGTGAAGCTCTCACCATTTTGTGGCAATGTCCGGATCTCTTTCAAAATCTGTTTAAAAATACACCTCACACATGTTTTAAAGCCTAATTTCCAGTCTGCTCATTCTCTTTATTGCCCTCAAACGGAATTCATTATTTGTCAAGTCTGGGATTAGTTATTCAAAAGTCTGCTAAGAACCAATGGAGTAATTATTGGTGGTCTTCAATGGTTTAATTTTACTGTGTTCTGAGCACAGAGGTAGAAAGGCTGTCTATCTTTGTGTCATAACAGCCACATTTAATATTTTAACCTATTTGTACAAAATTTGGCTATATACAAATCTTATTTCTGTCCAAACTTTTGGAAATTTGTTTTTCCCTCAGAGTTCTGTGAAGCATTTGCAGTTAAAAACTAATGATAACCTGTGTTTCCTTCAATGCACCAAACACAGACAACTCAAGATCCCACTTCAATCTGTGATTTCTTTTAACATCTCCGTCATAGCATCAGTCCTGTGTAGCACACTTGTCAGAGTTTTAGGAATATTTGTTCAACCTCCAGAACAGATGAGAATTTTCTTTGTGATGATTTATGTTCTTATTGCTTATTTATGTGAATTATATAAGTGCAGCATAAAAACAGGAAATTTTTAATGTTTACTGAAATTTCAACTTTTCAAGGTTGTTCCTCCAACTCAATTCTCCTTTAAGTTGTGATGATAGAATCAGGTTTTAGAAGGAGGAAGGATCTTAATTGCACAAATGTTATTCTTTGTGGAAAATTGTTTTAAAAAATGGAAAATATGCTTGTGTGGATGGCAACTATGCAGGAGATTCCAAGGGATCGGACAAATTTAAGCTGCTGAGAAAGCAGGAAGGGACAAATATCAGGCAAAGTATGCAAACTGAAATATTTGCAAAAAGTATGACTGGCAATGCTACAAAGGACAAAGATATGAAAGTGAGCAAGCAAGCTTTGAAATGACAAAATGAGCTGAGCTATGCCATGTTTCCAAGCAGCTTTGTGCAGTGGGCTTGCTTGTGTCTACTAAATGAGTCCTACTATCTCTAAGACTGTTCAGATTACTTTTACTTGGAACTTGAAAAAAAATCATGATCATTGATACCTGGTCAGGATTTAACTCAGCCCCTTGGTTCAACTCACTATTCTTGACCGCTTGATTGTTTATAATGGAAGAATGTGATTCAGAATTTATGTAGAAATGATAGAGGAATTTAGTTTTTCACCTCAGGCTATTCTGCTCCTGCAGAATTCTTTTCAAAGTTGTGCAAAAGTATATTAATCATAACAAGAAATTGGTTTCAACGCAGGTTTTTGTGTGCTTCATTAGAGGAGGTACATGTAAATATATCAGTCAACAAATAACTTTTGTCAATGGTATGACGTGAATAATCAGTGTTCTCAGAATGATAGTGCTATGTCTGCTGTTGTGGTTCAGTTAATTGTATCAATGATTTCATAAGTGAGCAGTTAGAGGACTATGATTTCAACAGAACAAAACTTAGCAACAAACAGGCAGTATTTGTAGACTATACATGGATCTTTGTGTTTGATCTGCATATAGAAATGCATTCTCACTTTAAAATACAATGTAACATGTTTCTGCAATCCAAGTTACATCATGAAATGATACCTAATTGTGATTATGTTGTTGTTGAAGGTGCTTGAAACCCAAGTAGAAAAGCAAGTTCCCTGGTGGGTTACATGTATCCCATGTGAAATTCCACATATCCACTGCGCTATAGTTGGTACAATACATGGAACAGATAGAGATGTTTTCACTGTTGTGCTGGTCCTTATTTGTGATAATTTATGTGACAGTGTATATTTCTTACAAATTATTACATATTTGTTCACAACCTTTTAGTATTATAGATTTTTGAGGCTTCTGGAGGAAATAGTGCATCATTTTGTGGGCTATAACTTTGTAGTTTTTATTGTTCATTCCTTTGCTTGCAAAGTTCTGTTTCCCCCTCATTCCTTTCCCAGTCTGTCAGTTAAATTACTGCTATGACCACAAAAAGGAATTTTGTTGATTCGCAGCTTCTCTATGTATTTCAGTTCTTAATTACCTTTTCCATAAATACAATAATTTATTAACTCTTTTCCCTTACAGCCATGATCCTACAAAATTCTCTGTTGTGTGGCTGCTTTTGAATTTTGAGACATCTGCACGCACAGAAGTACAGCACATGAGAGTTTTACATTGCTACTTGAACATTATGAACTGGCAAATCTCTCTCAAAGAAATACGTGGCTGCATGTTTGCCACATTTATTTAGAACTTGCTCCTACAACAAAGTCCTTCTGGGTATTTGCAGTTATTTTACAAAGACATCAATCTGAAAGTTAGGTGTGGTTGGGACTAATCTTGAAGATTTTACTAGTGGGGAGGAAAGCCACGCTTGATGTCCAGCCTGATAAGTGGAATGTAACTGCCCTCAGCGTTTAAATATGAGTGCCACTTTGCATGTACTTTAAAGACAAGATAAGTTTAATTTTATGTGACTGTGGGCGATGGCAAATCATTACCCCTTTTACGTCTCTCCAGATATTCAGTTCAGTCTTTGGAAATAAAACTCATGAGAGATGTGAAATGGGCTGCCAGTTCACAAACACCTGTTTCAGATTCCAGGTATTATATAAAGTCAAAATTACCTTGGCTGAGTACATTTTCTGAAAATGGAAGACTCTGCTAGTACTCAGCATGTCTGGCAGCATCTGTAGAAAGAGAAGCAAAGTTAACACATGATTTTTTGTCAGAAATCCTTGTCAGGAAGTGTTTGGATGTGTCAATGAGGCAGTCCTAGGGCTGACTCATGGATGCTGTGGTAAAGGCGAGTTTGGGTTCCTAGCGGCATCTGAGTCCAGCGCAGATTCATGGAGGCGGTGATGGAGGCGAGTTTGAGCCTAGTATGAGACCCGGCGGCACCGGCGTTGGCTGCATCAATGAGGTGGGCCTGAAGCACACTCATGGCGACAGCAGAGTCGAGCTTGAGCCGGTCCAGTACCCAACATTGGTGCTGTCTGCATTGACAAGGTCAAGTGAGGACTCATTGTGACGAGGGTGTCAGTAGAGGTGAGACGGCACCAAAGAGTGGCAGTTTCATTCCAGCAGCTCAGCAAAGGGACTCGTGCCTAGCCGCCAAGCCCATGACAGAGCACTTAACAAGAAGGACTGTAAAATTGAACACTGATTTTATTTCTTTATTCTTCTGCCTTTATATTCTGTGTTTCAGTTTGTTTGTTTCAAGACAGAGCCAGAGAGTGGTGACACTTTACAGCACTTTTCACTGTATTTTGTAACAAAGTACACATGACAATACATAAATCAAATCAGATCTTCAGAAGTGCATGTTTTCGTGTTGAATGTATAAATGGGTTTACAATTGCTCATGTCAGCAAGAAGGAAGAGATGATCGGACCTTTGTCCTGATTGTCTCTGGTTGTTTGTTATGCTTCAGTCCTTGTGTACATTGCTTTTTTGTTTATGGGCTACTGTTGATATTACAGATTGGCTCACCTCCTTTCACGTCAAGGACTTGTGTTTAAATCTAGAGCAGCTCCATTCTCTTTTTAAGGATTCAGTGTGAATTAAATTGAGTTTAACATGGGAGTTGCCCTTAACCAGAAACTGAACTGGACTAGCCAAATAAATACTGTGGCCTCAAGAGCAGTAACTCACCTCCTGACACCCCAAAGCCTGTCCACCGTTTATAAGGCACAAGTCAGGACTATGATGGGATACTCCACATTTACCTAAATGAGTGCAGTTCCAATAACATCCAAGAAGCTTGACACCATCAAGGACAAAGCAGATGACTCATTTGGCACCACAGTAACAAACATTCACTCCTCCAACCACTGACAAAAATTAGGATTCATGTGTACCCGTCTACAAGATGCACTGTAGAAACCCACCAAGGCTCCAATAGGTGATCACTGCCATCTGAAAGGACCAGGGCAGCAGATAGCTGGAAACACTGTCACTGGATCAAAATTCTGGAGCTCGCTCACTAACAGCACTCCAGCAGATCACGAAGTCAGCTCATTACCACCTTCTTGAAAGCAACTAGAGATGGGCATGAAATGTTAACCCAGCCAGCAATGCACACATCCCCTAAATGAATAATTAAAGAAATACTCAGATCAGACACCATTTTGTCTGGATTGCTATCGGAGCTTTAAGGATAGCTGATGTGAGAAGGGTGCGTACTTGGGGTTGGATTTCAACTCTTTGCCGAGGCAGAAAAGAGAGACTTTTATTCTGCCAGTGTTCTCAATGTTTAAATTGTCATAGCAATGAGCCAGACTAACAAACCTTCACACTTAGATGCTGATCCAGTGTGAAGGACTTCAGTGGTAGATTTTGGGAACAATCTGAATCTGCCAGGATATTTAATATTTGAACTGCATAACAGTATTTTCTCAAAAAGCCAGAAAAGTAATATTGTATATCTCTTATCCTTCTTATTTTTACCGACAGGGTAAAGATCTACAAACTGGATTTATTCAAGGCACAGTACTTTCAGGTAAGCTTTCACAGATCACTCCTCCCTTAATGTGCTGCTTTCCACCCCCATCACAGCCACTCAGCCCTACATAGCCACCCTCAGCTGAGAGTAGGGGTCTGGCACAAACACTCCTCCAGTGCTATGACACAAGTATTGCTCAGTGACTTAGTCAGAAGAGGAGGTGTGCTTATTTATTCTCAGGGTAAGGAGAATGTCTCAGGCTTTTCATAGTGATCTTAAAGGTATATTCTGCTCTTGATTCTTTTTCCTATTGTAAGTACCAATCGGGTCAGTTTTCCTAAAGTCTTTCTGAATGTCTCCCTTCACATGAATAAAACTAAAAACAAATTTAGTGACTCATGCAATATACAGTTGCATTTGGAAATGTGAAATTAAGTACACTGCAATTGCCTTTTCAATGCACTGAAATGTCAACAGTAATTTATTTATTTCTGTTCCTGAAACACATTCTTGGAATGCTGACATGAATGCTACAGCTGGGTATTAACCACAGGCCTGATGCCATTGCTTTATGTGTGAACTTTCTTTTGAATTTCTCGTTAGTCTCAAATGCATTCATAAACAGCTTCAGAGCTGTATTTGAGCCTGCTGCACTGTACTTAAGTTCATTCATAAACTGTAAAGGACGAGTCAAACACATCAGGTGACATACATTGTCTGCAGGGTGACAACATGTTCTTCCTGCACCAAAAGATGATGAGTCCAGATTTACAACATGAAGTCACAATTGGTGCATTTGGCTAATTAGTTTGACTTCACTTTATTGAGCGTGAAGTAAATGCTGTTCCAATTTCTTTTGACATTGTACTATACTTGTATTAGACTTGCACAGAAGCTTTTGTATCAATCAAGCAGCAAATTAGTGGCAGGAAAAATGAGGACATTGCATTGATCTTAACTTATATTAATAAAGCTGAAAACAAGATTGGTACATGGATAAACACCAATTACACTGAAATAGTTTTTTGTGTCATGTTTCATTTAAGCAAAATTTAAAAGTAACGTAGGAAAAACTCATGTTGTGCAATAACGGTAGCAGTTTGGAGGCAATTGCTTTTGTTATAATTTCAAAAAAAATAGCTAATTTCTTTTGAAATAAAATAGCAGGCTGGAGAAATTTGTACAGAAATGCCAAGACATTATTTACATCTCACAGCAAAATTTAAATGTGGTAATTGCTGTACAGTTACCTGTTTTCGTCGCCCTCTTCTCTCGAGGCCCTGTTGTCTCATACCACACACGCTCTGCAACTAAAAAAGCCTGGTTTTGGCACATACTTTCTTCACATTTTAGTTCAAACTATTTGTTGGGAGGTATGTAAGGAGAAATAAGTTCCATCCGATCTGTTTCTGCCCTCCACAAACTATTCTCACGTATCTGTGTGGAACTATGGCCTCCAAGTATCAGACCATTGACATTTAGGGACTACATCTTTGTGCATTCTGTGGACATCTATCCACGTCTGGTGAATAGTCTTATATCTATGTCTATTTGCTGTATGCCCAACTTAACTTGCTGTTGTCAAACTTGTTATATCAATTTTTTCCCTATTAAAGATTTCTGTGTCCATATTCTAAATGAGGTTTCACCACCTTAACTCATCAGACTATGTATTCTGGCCTCTGGGTTCCCATAACTCACTGGATGGAATCTTACAGGCAATTGAACAGTGTGAGTTATGGCAAGATTTCTGGCAGAATGGTACGATAAGAATGGTGAGGTCTTTGTTGACATCAGGAGCAACTTACTGCATCTCTTGCATCAACTGAGTGCTGAGGTGAGTTTCTCACTAGGCAGCAGCAGGTTACCTATTAAGGAGGATTATTACTTGTTGCCAACTTTACTGATGGCACGTCTCACCTCATTAATATGTAGCTTCCTTTCTTTCCAATCACCCCGAAGAAATTAAATGCCAAGCTCAGAGCAGATACCAAGCGACTTAGCTCACAGGTTGCTCTGAAGGACCTTCATGACGGACACAGGGACTAACGTTACATGCACCCCATGTCCATGAACATTGGAATCTGACATATACCAACCTCTAGGAAGCCTCATGGCACATCTTTGATCGATTAATAGGACAGTTCTGCACTATTTGTTGCAATTCTACAGCAAGGACATGTTGCACTTAGGGACAGGCTCCAAGCTCACGGATTGGACCATGGAAGATCTCTGGCCTGTTTGCTCACAGTTATAGTGCTCCCTTTGAGCCTATCTGAAGTTTCCTGCTTGTACTGCACTCCCTTACCATTTTATGCGTTGCCCCTCATTCACAGATACCAGGCTCAGAGTGCTCCTGTCTTGCCATGCTATTCTGTGCAGACATAAAACCAGGAAGCTTGTCATGGTTGTCGGCACTCCTTAGTCAAATCAAATCCAGCCAGATAGCCTTCACTCATGAGATCTTGGCACAGTCAGTCAAGGGCAGTCTCCAATACCAGTCCATGGATTTGACCATGGTCAGTCAGAGCGGTCACAGTCAGAATCCTTTCTTTGTAAGTGATGAAGAGTCAAATGACAGGCAGATCACCACCCATCTTGACTCCTTTTGCCCTATTGTAGCCTGTTTCTTCCATGAATGAGAGAGAGGCAGATATTATAAGGAGATGAAATTGGGTGGTACAGCCATTACTTTCTGTCTAGGTGGGGAGGTATCCAGAACAAGGCAATGTAGAAGGCCTGGTGGTATCGCGGTTGGAGTGGGTGACAATGAGTAAGAGAAGATACTGTGGCATCAGCAAGAATAGGAGAGCCTGAGCCTTTTTCAGAGGTGCGTACTGTGAATAGCAGATGTAGAATGAATGTAAGTTATAGGATAGAAGGTGGCAGCACTTACACTGCCAGAGTGGAGAAGATCATGGAACTCTTCCTGTGCACTTCCCAGATAGCTGAAGCTGCACTGACGTTGGCAGCAACCTCAGTCTAAGCTGGCATGATCTGGTGTTGTGGCCTCCTCTGCTGATCTTGGAGAAGAGGATGTCCTACCTGTGCACCCCCCTTCAAGCAGGACTTCCAGGTCCCTGCCCACAAAATGGTGTGCCAGTTTTCACTTGTCTGCTTTGTCTGCGGCAAATGTCAGGTACTGTGCAGGACAGCTTGAGACTTGCTGCTGTCCGGGTACACAGGGACCTTTTAAGAATGACAGCAGTGCCAGGGATCATGGACAATTTCAGGATATCTACTGAGTGTTAACAAGCCAGAAATTTAAATAAAACATAAAAAAACTGTGGATGCTGGAAATCTGAAACAAAAACAGAAATTGCTGGAGAAACTCAGCAGGCCTGGCAGTATGTGTAGAGACAAAGCAGAGTTAGTGTTTTGAGTCCTCATCTCAGTCCTTAATGGCCTATCTCATATCCTGAAATTGTGTCTCCCTGCTGTAGACTCCCCGACCAGGAGAGGCATCCTCCCTGTGTCTAATCTGAATAGCCCTGTTAGAATTTCATGTTTCAATCGGATACATAATGGAGAACAGTGTTTTATACTCTATAAGAAAAGAATGCTGATTGGTTAAAAATAGACTCTGATCGGTAGACATATTTGCCATCCAGAATGTACCAGTTAGATGATGACTGACAGTTAATTGCCAAGCTTTGTTAAAATTCAAACCAAGAACGTTGACTGTGGTTCACCAAGACATTGCCGTGAGGAATGAACCAGAGAATGGCCGTCACCTATTTTATAGAGTTGAAGCAAGTGCAAGAAGTGTACAGCATCCTTCTGTGTGCAAAGAACAAGGCCCTGTGTATTTATATGTGTAGCTTAAGTTGTGTGCAAGGCTACCATACTGCAAGCCCAAATGACAATCTTAATTGATAGTCAGTGTAACTCTTAGGACATTCATTATTGAGTAAATATTATCAGATTGATGTGCAAAATCCAATTTGCAATATATCATTTTTAGAAGGTAAATTTTGCCATAAAGGCAGATGAATGTGACTCATTTCTGTGAACAAAATAATCTCGAAAACCTTGTGAAACAGTGACTACTCCAGCATTTCTCAGAAAGCAAATGGCTGTCAACCCCTATGGTGTGTTCGTGTGAATTTATTTATTATGGTGTCAATTGAGGAATCGTTGAAGACCATGAGTTTGTTTTCAATTCAGAATAATCATGGATTGAGCTTGCTTTAGAAAAGCCAGAGTTTGAAGGTTTTTCAGGCATTTCAGAGGAGGCCTGACCAGGGACAGAAGCAGGTTTATTTTCTGTCCTTAAAGAAGTTCAAGATAATTCAGGATCACCTCAGCAGTAAGGTTTAATTTGTGCAGGTTCCAGACTAGGAGACTTTGGTTCAAAATCTGCAAGTTATTAGAAGATGAGAAATTTTAAACTCAGTTTCCTGTGTATTCATTCATTGGAAGGAACTGGGAGAATAAGTTAAGTAGGAATTTAAAATTTGATATTGAGAAGTGATTTCTCTGAACCGAAATGTTCGTGTTGGGAAATTGCTTGATGCTATGTTTATCTGCGTGTTTTAAGATTTTTGTAACTTGCCTTCTCTGTCAAGGAAACTGGATTTGTTTTGTTTTTCTATGCTTTTGTCTTTTTGTCCTAAACTTCAGTTCTGTTATCAAAGAAACCCTGCAGACTCGTGTGATAATGTTTCATTGACCGACCACTGTGTCTCCGAAAAGATACACAAAACAATCCATTATGTTAGATTTCATTCTGAGATCTAACCTGTCTAGCTGCACCATCAGATGGGATTATAAAGGCTAGAGCATGAAGAATTGTGCCCAGTCAGCAGCCAGGAGCTTGCTTCCAATTAGCTAAGCTGCCTTCCAGCCCCTCTCAAACCTGATTCCTGATTGGCTAGCCCTTCCCCCTCCCTAAGGTTGCTTGCTGTGACGAAATAGATTCCTGAAGGTTTCACCACATGACTTGTTCCCATCCTCCAGCCCGTATTGGCCATTGCATCCATCCTTGTGATGCACTGCCTCCCAACATCAATTAGAAAACAAGGAGACTTATTTTGCGTGGACAGTGTTTGACTGTC